CCCCCCCCCCCCCCCCCCCCCCCCCCCCCCCCCCCCCCCCCCCCCCCCCCCCCCCCCCCCCCCCCCCCCCCCCTGCTGTTTATTGAATTAACTGCACCCGGCTTATCCTTTCGTTATTGGTTGCACGCATCCGGAGACGCCGATGCAGCACTCACAGGTCAAGCTGGTGTAGGTATCATTCCGAGCTCCAAGGCTGAGCCATCGTTGGTTGATTGGATCCAGGTAAAAAGCCGTTTATGTGCAGTCCGCTTGACGACATCAGCTAAGGTTGATTCACGGAGTATTAAAAAACGCTGTTGGTTTGTGATTTCCGCTTATGCTCCCACCGACTGCAGTTCTAATGCTGTCAAGGACACGAACTGAATGCCCTGCTACGCAGTGATACTAGTTCAGATATTATAGTATTTGCAGGGGATATGAACGCACAAGTAGGGCGTCTGAGCTCTTCAGAAGCTCAGCTGGGTGCTAATTGTGGGCTTAACTCCGAACGGACTGAAAACGGTGAGCGTCTGCTGCAACTGTGTACAGACCACCAGTTGTTTCTTAGTAGCACTGCTTTTAGACACAGTGGACGCCGAAGTGCCACTTGGCCAGCGATGGACCGAAATTGACCACACGGCCATAAGTTACAGATGGCGTGGTTCCATCCTGGATTGCCGCTCGTACTGGAGTACCTGTGTCGACTCTTATCATGCCTTGGTACGCTGTCGTTTCTCCATGAACTTTACCGGGAGGCGCAGGTAGCGTCCCCTATGAATGATAACGGAGAAATTGTCTCAGTTCTCGGTTAAGCAAGCCAATCAAGAAGCACTGCATCCCGAACTTCCGCTGTCTTGTCCTAATGACACTGAGCTTCAGTGGAATAGGATATCGGCCGCCATGCACGACGCAGGAGCATCTGCTTGTGGCACTATCCGTCGTCACCGCACCAGTCACTGGATATCCGAGAGGTCAATGGACCTGTTGGAATCTAGAAGACACCTCCCGGCTGGCTCTGAACACAATGTGACCAGACGGGCTATTAGGCATGAACTAAAGCAGAGCCTACGTACTGACAAGGAAGCCTGGTGGACCAGTAGGGCTCAAGAAATGGAGGAGGCAGGGGCAGTAGGCAATTACCGCAAGCTCTTCCAGCTTATCCGCATCACTGGTCCCAGAAAACCAGGCAACAGTGAGACAGTCAGAGACAGCGCGGGTTCGCTGATACACAATAAGGAGCGCCGTATGGCTCGTTGGGCGAAACACTTTCAAGATCAGTTCAGCTGGCCTTCTTCCGGACATCTTCCTACTCAGGTGATGCAGGACGAGCCATGGACGGTTAGTTTAGAGCCTCCGTCGGAGGCCGAGGTCCGAAACGCGATTACAGCCCTCAATCGTTTTCATGCCGCTGGCCCCGATTCACTCCCACCTGCACTATTTAATGATGGAGGTAAGGTCCTCTGCAAAGCACTGACCTCCCTATTCGAATGTGTCTGAAAAGAAGAGAGCGTCCCGGCTAATTGAAACGAATCGATTATAGTGGCAATATACAAGAAGGGCAGTCGCACAGACTGTTCTAACCACAGGGGTATTAGCCTAACGCCAGTTGTGACAAAATTATTGGCCTCGATTATCGTTCTCGCCTCACTGCGGAACGGGAATCTCGGATTAGGGAAGAGCAGGCTGGTTTCCGCCCAGGACGTGGCTGTATAGACCATATATTCACTTTGCGGCAGGCGCTAGAGCAGCGCCACGCATACCGCAGACCGACAATAGCTGTATTCCTCGATTTCAAGACTGCGCTCGATTCAGTCGATCGATCGATTCTGTTCGAAATGCGCGGAAAGGTGTTCCCACGAAATATGTGAACATCCTTCGTGCTCTATACTCGAACACTACAGGTCGCGTCAACGTTTACGGTGTCCTATCGGATGACTTTCAGACCACAAGTGGCGTTCGTCAGGGGTGTCCGATTTCCCCATTTTCGTTCAATTTCGTCGTGGATGCTATCATGCAGTGTTCCCTTGCGAAATCTCAAAATGTAGGCGTTGAATTGCTGCCTGGTGAAAGGTTAGTTGATCTAGATTATGCGGACGATATCGTCTTGCATTTCGACGATGTTGGGGCGGCGCAATCAACACTGAATAGCCTAGCCAGAGTGGCAAATTAGTTGGTATGCACTTCGCACCTTCAAAGTGCGAAGTGTTGCTGCAGGACCACCAGCCACTTGATGACCCTTGACGCTTGCTAACGAGGAACACGAGGTGGTTGATCATTTCATTTATCTTGGCAGCTGCATCAGCAATGATGGGCGCATAGAAACTGACGTCAGCTAACGCATTGCAAAAGCCTGAGCTACCTTCTTGAACCTGCGGCATCTTTGGCGACAGAATGGAGTTTCCCTTCGTCTGATAGGCCGTGTATACAAGCCCACAGTGTGTGGGAGCATAAGCGGAAATCACAAACCAACAGCGTTTTTTAATACTTCGTGAATCAACCTTAGCTGATGTCGTCAAACGGGCTGCACATAAACGGCTTTTTACCTGGATCCAATCAACCAACGATGGCTCAGCCTTGGAGCTCGGAATGATACCTACACCAGCTTGACCTGTGAGTGCTGCATCGGCGTCTCCGGATGCGTGCAACCAATAACGAAAGGATAAGCCGGGTGCAGTTAATTCAATAACCCCGTTAGGGTCATTGATCCTAGTTTCGGACACACAACACACATCAATATCCAGTGTGTCCAAGGTGCGTGCGAGTGCATCCTGTTGACCTGTTTGCCTTAGAGTGCGAACGTTGAATGTCGCTATGGAAACGGGACAGCGTGGCCTTATAAGGGACTTTTGCCGATAGGCGTCCGATAGGTGCTGTGGGATGGTGGCTGCAGATGATTCTACTTCAGTGGCATTTTGGTTGCTGTCAATTAAGTTGGGAATTATAGAAGGAAGGTTAGTAATGGGGGTTGGGATGGGAGTAGGGGAAAAAGGTGGAAAAGAAAGAAGGGAGGCGCCAGCAGTAGCATGTTTTCACTTATCCGCCCTGCTGTATGCAACAGATAAGGCGACCCTTGATAGTCTGCGCGACGGCCGATGCAAGATGGAGTTTATATTTGAAGAAAGTGTCATGGTTGTATGTGGGCTGCGATACTGCCAGGGCGCCCAGACCTAGACAGGAGGACGATTAGGGTCCTCATCCAAAGCCTTTGGCTCAAAAGCCTGTCAGCAATGCAGCGGGGAGGTGGCAATGATTTAGTTTTACAGAAATGGACGCCATCCCATTTCAAACCCCCAACCTAGAGGACCAGAAGACTGAGTTTGTCTGACCTCTCACCATTGACCAACCTGGTAGGAGTAGGTCTCAAGGTGCCCGGAGGCATCACCCAGTATAGCTCAATGGGTCAACGAGGTACGCAAACAGTCGCACCATGTTAAGGTCCAGTCTCTTTGCGACGGCGCGTCTTTCCATCCGTCGGATTTATAGCTTCGAATTGCCACTCGGCATCTAACGTACGTTAACAGAAGGAAGGAGTGTAACTTAAGTCTGCTTGCTCTTTTTCCAACCATGATTTTTCGTCTAAGCTTATGTTTTGCCTCGGGACCTGAACTTTTTAGGAAACTGTCCACCATAGTTTTACTCTACACCATGTCGAACTGCAAGCCTAAAAGTATTTTTTGCGGGTACGTTAGGTGATCCCGCATTAATAAGCTACTGCATCTCGGATTCCGATACACGGGCTACGCAACGCTGCATCCATTTCCATCCTACAACGCAACAGCCTGCAAGGCAATGTAAACCGGTGCGCAGCCGTCACTAGGTGAACAATGGTCTTTTCTACTCCACCCGCTCGGTTTGGTGATACATTTCTCCCACAAAACGAGCTGCTGTGCCAACCACGTTCTGGCCTTGTGGGTTCTAAAAGAGCTCATAATGGTCCGCTTCGCTTTGTCTTTTTACAGCTGAAAGTGATGTGCGTGCATCAATCTAATCGACCGGCTTGACATGTTTCTTAAGTGGGACTAGTTTCTCGGGTGAGTGTCCATGGATTCGTCTGGTTCCGTTAGCACAGTGCGTTAGCCGAATCGTGCATTGACCAGGAACCGCACAATTTTGTGGAAGAGCAACAGTTATTACAGAATTCTGTTGAGAGGCGCAGTGGTCAACCGTCTTCTTGGTCTGAGCTCACTGTGAAAGTCGTGTTCGACTGATAGTGAGTTCGCACAGGTCTCTTTAATGTTTCCACGTGAAACTATGTTACATTTACTGGTCGGTATCGCCTGCAGTTTTCTTTCTTATGACCTTGTTTTTGGCACATTTGGCGTGTGCCTCTGGAGTTTTTAGCATTCTGCAACCTGCCACCCTCACCCAACCAAGAGGCTGTAGGTTTTGTGTTCCGTGGATGCGCTTGCCTGACACATTTCGTCTGTTATTTATCACTGCAATTACCTTTCGCGGCTAGGTATGGGATAATCTCTCTATCGCAACGTCGCGTCTCAAAGCCAGCAATTGCATATGTCATACTGTGGGGACTTTCGCGTTTAGTTTCGTCTTGATCCAACTTCGAGAAAAGCCATGTGCAGATTAGGCGCTTGCTTTATAATCCCGCGGTCAAATCCACCTAGGCAAGGGTGACCTCGCGGTATACTCAGCCCACGCGCGATTGGTGGTGGTCGCATTGCAACAACCCACCAGTACATTGTACTCCCGATGTCTTTTTTGTCAGGACTAAAAATGGGAAACTTGTATCGGTCACCCTTCGGAAAGCCCTAATTTACGCGTTTACTATTATGTTTTACTGTCTACCATTTTTCATTATCGTGTGTGTTGCACTTGGTAATCCTCAAACATTGTTAACGAATACTGGATCGTAATGAATACTCACCAACAGGTGATCAATTAACTTTGAGTGTTTAATAGTGTCATATTTATGGAGCAGTAGTCGCAGTGTCCGCGCATCCTGAATCGGCGTCATAGTTGAATTCAGCAGAATTTTGAGGAAACATCAACAGAGCTGGACTGCGTGTCTCGTGTAGCTCTCTGGAGATCTCATACTTTGCCGTTGCTTCAGTTTCGATTTGCCACTATCTGCGACTGCTGATGCCACAACAGCTTTTCGAATTGTTCTACAGTAGGGATCATCACACTATTTCCCCGTCGCCATTTGTAAACTCCATTTTATACGATTCCGGTTGGAAATGATCATATACTTCGCGAGCTTCCCGAATCTCAGCTAACAGCAGTTCAAGTCTCGATGCAAGTGTATTAAGCGATCAGTTACTGAAACAATGCAAGTAGTGTGAAATCATCGCATGTTTGTTCAGGTCCAGTGATGGGTGTTCAACTTTTTTTACGGTTAGCTACCAGAGTTAGATCCGGTTTCACCAATGTGGAGGTAGACGAATTCATTGCGTGACCACCTGCATATTCCTTAAATGACCCTATTCATTATCTAATTAAGACAATGGGCTTTCTTGAGATTTTACCTCCCTGCTGTTATCTACCAACCTTCCGGATGCCTCGAAGGGGGTGGACGTAGACTTTCGAGTGCTTTTGCCTGGCCCATTGGAAGCTGCTTCAAAGATTACGAATGCAATTGATGGGTAAGCATATTCGACTTCTGTCGTTAAGCTGTAGCTGGGGGTGTGTGTTCTGGGCGCGCCACATCAGGATTGAAAAATGCTTCCGATTGAACGGCAGTTTTGTACTGGCATACGCACAATCAGTTAATAGTGATGTGATGAATTAAACTTTAAGATGGTTTGGGATTGTCTCGTTCCAGCAGCCGCTTAGACGGCAGTATTCCAGGACGCGGTGGGTTTTGTCTGGAAAATGTGCTCCCTATAAATGGCCACATAAAACCGCTTAACGACACCGTAACGTCGCACATATGACACCTCTTGCACTTTGTAGTTCAAGTGGGTGTTGGGTCCTGGCCCTTCATGGACCAAAAAGGCGTATGTATCACTTAATCGGTCGCCAGCTCCCAACGGGTTGCGACGCCCTCATATCAATCTGTTGCCTTGTATGTTAGATGTTTGATCAAAAGCAACCCTTCGCTCCGGCCTGGGCAACCGGGTAACATCACGCAAACTGATGAATCATGGCTAGATTATATTACCGATTTCGCTTTTGCTATCATTTTTGGCTTTGGTGTCTCCATTGCTCAATCCCCACGTCCCCTTCTTCAACTGCACCGTATTTTGCTCGGTCGTGGCTCACTGCTCGCATCTGATGGAAGTAAGTGTCACACTCTTGATATTTGATGCCCGGCGATCACAGCCTTTTCACACTCCACTGAAGCACCAACCTTTCCTTGACCTAGCTCTCCCCATTCGGCCTCGCAGCGTACGATGTTCACTCGTTGATGCAGGTCGGACCGCAAGCGTTTCTTGCCAGCACTCTTGAAACGCTCTCGGTTGTTTTCCAAAAACCAAATTGCATCAGAATGGCCTCACTTGCAAACCCTGATTTCAAAATACAACTTGCGCCTATTCGAGGACCCAGAGGTTGTCGATTCTGGTCGGGCTGGTATTGGGGTTGCACTGAGTGACAGAAATGAGTTTAGTCAGCTTGAATCTATCTCAGTCAACAGCCGGCTGTGTGCAGTAACACTATGAGCTTCACACAAGTTCAGCAAGCGTCAAGACGTTGAGTGTGCCTTGTTTGTCGTCTCTGCCTACATTTCCACAGACTGTAGCCTGGATGCAGTCAAAAATTGCTTTTACAAACATCTACCAGACCTGTGTTTCTCCAGAAATACTTATATTAGCATACTTGCTGGAGATTTTAACGCGAGTGGACCGCCTGTCACCAAGCCAGCACCATCCTTAGTTTTGACCTTAATAACAGTTGATCGGACAATCGAGATAGACTGCAGACTCTTTGCTTTGATCATCACTTATTTCTTTCGAGCACCAGTTTTCGGAAATCGAAAAAAGACCGCTACTTGGCTCCCGTTCTCGCAAACGCGTAACAGACTCCCTATCGTACTGGTATGGACACCAATTAGGCATTAGTTCGTGCTAAGGTTTGCATGCGTTTCGGAGGATGGCACATGCGTACGACCATCGACCTACGAAATCCTATGATCTTAATTTGAGCATTAACTTATCGTCAACATTGTTTGGCTCAGCTTCTGACAATGGTGTAAATGCATTATGGGAGAGCATCAAAGATGCCTTGCTTTTCGGCACTATAGGCGACTGTAGAGTAGGCCGTCACTTGCCGATGAGCTGGAAATCCGTGGTCTCCTAGTCGCTTTTGTACACACGTCGCTCGGTCCCGGCCAGCACCAGTCGTAGTGAGGAAAGCCCCTAACTGGGTCCACGGTCGCACAGAAGTTCACAAATGGACCGTGAAACCTGAATGCGTGAACGTGTTAGAGACACGGAAATTGCTAGTCTCTCTGGTTGTAGAACGAAGTTGCGACTACTCAAATCTCACCCCTGTCAAGTGTCTACTTTTACGTTGGTCAGCCTCACCGCTCGGCATGGACCATTCGTGTACCTGTCCCCTTGTCCATTTTCTGTTCCAGCGCTACGTACTATGAGTCCCTTACTGCGTGACTTAATATCCGAGTTCCAGTTCATCCACGTCTTACCTTTTCACTCCTATGCACAAATACCCCTACTGACATTTACTCTTTCCATTGATTTGATCGATTTGTGTGACTCACAGTTTGTTCAGTTAGGTATGCCCGACCTTACCGCATCACGTTTTCTTTGGCGGACGCATACTCCTATCACCATTACTTCATTTGGATTATGAGCCCTGTATCTCACTTTGATTCCATTGTTCCTTTCGCACGGATGAACACACGGGTCGTTCGTGGGTCTGAGAGCGAATTGTTGGCATATTTTTGCGTTTGGAAGTCGTTAAGATAATGTATATTTTGATACAATGAATTCATACAAATACACCGTTATCTCAGGGCCGGACTTGTTTTTTGATGAATATTCCGGTGGGATACGCACGGCTTTTTAGCGTTAAAGTGGTAATACTAGAAAACGCTTTCCTCCCATCCGAGTCACCGAAGTTGTCCGATTTAGTGCAAGTGGAACAGTATGTGAAGGAGATGACTCCTCAATCACTTATTATCAACGGCGCGTGGAGTAATAGACTGAACACTTTGGCTCTCAATTTTGCCGGTGGACAGTTCCATCCGCTTTCTCTGGCGCGCGCACTACTGCTGAGTGGTCTACCCCATATATCCGCCCTCACACCAGGAGCTTTGGCAGAAACATCGCCTACTGAAGCGTTATAAAGCACCCAGCCCCGGTGGTCTACCGCTCTCCATTCAAAGATGCCAACTATTCCCGGTTCGAGAACTCACTGATTTTTCCAATAGTAGGCTCAAAACTGGAGGTTCCTTCTCCTTATGGCGAATTTATAGCCACGTCCATCTTCAGAAAGTGTCCGCGCATAATGTGCTCCAACTACGCGGGGATACATTTGGTTTCCTTCGTCTGCAACGTTCTGGTGTCCAGCATAATTCGCAGGCTATCTCCAAGCGCTAATGGCTACAGCGGGAAGAGCAAGCTTGGTTTCATTCTAGTTACAGCTGCATCGACCAAATTTCCGCACTCTGCCTTATCCTCGAGTTTCGCCATATGTATCACAAGCCAATGATTTTTGTGTTCCTGTACATTCGTGCTACCTTCCTTTCTGTCTACGGCGCTACATTGTGGCACTATCTGTTGAGGAATGGAGTACTCGAGAAGTTCGGTTCCGTCTTACATGATCGGTATAATCTGACATCGTGAGGAGTTGGGGCTTATGACGTTTTTCCTTCCTATGATGTCCCCAGCTGGGTTACACAAGAATGTCTTATCTCCAGATTCTTCTTCATTTTTGCCATTGAGGATGTTCTCAAAAATCCTCTGGAAAACTTGGTGAACTATGACGTTAGGCTTCTCCCAGGTAGTCTAGTTGTCGGTTTGGGCTACACTGACGATATCGTCCTGTTGGATGGTGGTCCATAGGCCGTCCAACTTGCATTCAACCGCTTGGCGATTGAAACATCAAGGTATGACACATTTTTCTCCATCCAAGTGTTGAACTCTCTTACAAGACTGGCAGATGCCTGTACATGCACTCACCATTGGTGATAACACACTGGATAATGTGGAGAGTTTTGTTTACCTGCGAAGTGGCATCACTGCCGATAGGGCTATTAGAGACACGACTTAGATGCGCATCTCAAGCGCTTGTTTCGCTAGGCCGAGGCACTTTTGGTGCCCCCATGTTCTCCATCTCCCCACCAGAATGCGAGTTTATTGTGCGACTGCCGCGCTGTACTCTTGTGCGGATGCGAGACATAGCCTGTTCACGCCGTTGACCTGCGCCGGCTGTATGTCTTCTAACACCATCCCTTGCTGTCTATTGTCCGTGTGTGGTGGCTTCACCACGTAAGCAACGTGATAGTTAGCGCGTCTTTGGAGTAGGCAACCACTGGCTCCGGGAGCTCGTATCACTTCGGTAATTAGGACACGCATTGCGCGTGCCCGTTCAACGTCTTCCGCGTAGTACCTTGTTTGCGGCTACTTGGCAGCGCAGGAACAGTCGGTGTGATAGGCAGTCTACAACTTTGGAAGCGGCACGAAAAGGCTGACGAAGCATTTTGTCTCGATTGGTTCTGGTCTCCGTGGTTAAAGTCACAGTGATGCCGTGACTCTACAATTAGAGACCTTGGAATTCATGATGCAAGACCAAACTTGGTGGTTCACTTTATTTTAGCGTGTTGCGGTGATTCCCTTCCTCTAGTAAAACAAAATACCAAAAAAGTAAGCACCGTAAATTACAAACTAGACAAAAGCTACCTCATTTTACTGATTCGGCCACTTGCTACAGTTGAAATGGTTAGCATCAGACAGGTAATCCCAGATCTCTGCATCCAAACCGGGGGGGTGGCCAGTCCATGAGGTGACATAGACTTGCAGAAATTGACTGAGAGGCTTGGTATGTGTTGTTTTCCTGGATGGGGGACTCGTGATGGTCCAAACGGAGGATTGGGGACCCTTTGAGATAAGGCTCAGTCAGTGGCGTACCTGTATTTGGTTTCTTGCATCTAGTTGTTACTTCTCGTTTCATCCATTCTTATTCCAACCCATCGCCTTGCCTTTAACCCCACTATCTTGCCCTTATTATTATTTATTGTTATTCTTGTGATGGGAGTCGTGGCAACTGGATTGACCGCACTCCGGTGTTCGGATCATAGTTGTCCAGTAAACTGAGCTGCCTTCAAGAGAATTACGACCAAGCATTATCATTTTGATGAAAAGCAATCAGACGAAGAGAGGCAGATTCATCCTCACAGTACCACATGCCGCCAATCACCTGTTTACACAACTCGCGTCATGAGAACTAATTAAATTTTCCAACCAATGGTTTTACTCTGTGCTCTCCTATGAACTTAACCTTTGTTACGGCATATTGATGAATATTAGCACAAAACAAGTACTTGTCTAAAGTGTGCTTCTTTCGTTCTCACCCAAGATATCTTTGAATTCATTTGCTCTTATCATTTGGATGCAGCAAAAGCCTTTAAGATATCAGCTAAACCGA